TATCAAAGAATGCTGATACCGATCACCGATACCGATCACGTGGATTGGCCAGAAATTTTCTACAACATTATAATGAGTGCTACGAACTACATAATCTGGGAATAAAGGAAATGTAACCTAATCTAAAATGGTCTGGCTGATCGGTCTGCTTTGATCTATTTTGAAAACTCCGACCAAAACCGATAGAGGTGCTATCGGCCGATTGGGATCAAATGCCGATCCATCGATGCATCCCTAGAAATTTGTATTTTTATTGTGTTGATTATTGAGACCAGCTTTTCATTCTCTTAACATTATTTAGACATATTTTTATTTACCTTTTTCTATTTTAAATTTTGTTTTTATTATCAATTTAGTTTCATATGTGTTTTGTAAAAAATCATGTTCTCGGTAGTGGTGTTCATACATTTTGTGTTGTTTTCTGTTTTGGACTCCTGGGACACCGTACCGTTCCACCCACCTAAAGAAAGCAGCTTAAATCAGTCATTTGGAACCACAGCTGTTATTTTACCAGAACAAAACCAAGAAGGAAAATAAATTCCACTATTTAAAGATTAAAGCACTTACCAGATCTGTGGATAAATACATACATTGATCATTCTCTGTAACGGTCTGACACGGCACTCCTTCTGTGACAAAGGCGTCTCAGGCCAGATTAACATAATCGCTAGACTCTATAGGAACTCTGAGATAAAACATCCCTGAAGCTGTGGCTTCCTGCGGTCATCTTGCTTGTCTGCACATCACATCGAGATCCATTCAGCTACATGCTAATAGAAGTGCTGAGTCTACAGCATCAAAACAGGAAGTCGCAAAGAGAAAAGGGGTGGAGGTAGATCCATACACCCTGGCATCTATAGAGGTCAGTGGAGATCGGGGCAAACCTAGAGAGAGAAAAAACTCATCTTCCTTCACAGAGCCCAGTGAGCGAGAGAGATGGGGGTACTCATCATACTCTTCACATGCATTAGAGCTAACGGCAGCACTCATAGCCAGCAGGTACATGCTGGTACACATTTTCTTCTCTTATATCCAGATAGATGGATGGTAGACTGGGACATGAGCTATTAGGAGCATTAACCTAGGACTCTGGTGCCCTGCCTCAGAGCAGGTGGCACATAATGCAGCAGCTTCCACCTCCAGAGGCAATCTCCGAAATAAATCAGGATTCAAAACAGTCAGCAGACTCCATTTGATAGAGTGTGGAGTTTTAATGGACCTCTAAAAGCGGTTTGATGACTTTGTGTTGCTCATAGAGCCCTGGAATGACAAGTTACCTTTTGCAGTTGAGCTGTGAGGTATGAAACGAAGCTGCAGACAGAACTGGGAGGCTGTAAAGAGAGGCTACACGATAGACTGTCTTGCACAAATGTAATATTTTTAAAAAACAATGCACAAGTTGCATGTTAAAAAGAAATAAAATGGTGACAACAAATGATTTGTAGTATTTAGCAGATCTCAGTAAATGATGCAACTTTGCATCAAGGTACAGTTTTATGAAGGAGCAACAGACAAATGTAAAGCAGCAGGATCGGCTGTAATGTGAATGCTTAGGTGTTTCATGTGGATGATAACTTATTTAATGGCGTGCTGCAGTTTTATAATCATCCTGAGAAGTGTGCTGATGTACTCCTAAACAGAAGGATAGATCAAGTAGGCGGCGCTGAAACGGAGCATCCATGTTTTATCGCATCCCTCCATGGTCACAGGGTGTTTGTTTGAGTGTGACATGTTTACAGAAGGAAGGGCGGGGAGACTGAATGTTTGCAAAAAAACAAAACAAAACAAAAAAAGCACGGGGAGTGAGGTGGGCTGGGCTCTCTTTCTCGCGTCTCTCTCCAGCCTAGAAGCGGAGTGCGTGCCCCCCCTCTTCCCCCCTCTCTTCGAGCTGCTGGCCCTCGGTCAGGTAACCAAACAGGATAGTATCACAGGACGGTGAAACCTAAAGTGGCCCTGCCAGCCTCCATATGTCCGTTCACGTGAATGTGTGTGTCTGCGAGGCTCTCACCCGTACCTGTCATATATCCTAAACCTTTATCTTCTGTGTTCTCCCGTCTGTTTTGCCTGTATGTTGCACCCACACCCTCCTTCTTTTAAAAACACCCTCTACCCTTTGCGGCCAATTCCCAACAGCCACACACACACACACACACACACACACACACACACACACACACACACACACACACACGCACACACACGCACACACACACACACACACACACACACACACACACACACACACACACACACACACACACACACACACACACACACAAACCAAACCTCCTATATGTACAGTCTGTGTTTCAAGAGTCGTTGCTATGCCAACAGCCCACTTTCCTGGGAGAATCTGATCTGAACCCACTCTGCCTCCCACTGGAAACTGTAGACCACTGCAGGCTTCACAGACTTGAACCAAAACCATATCAGCCCCCCAAATCCCAATAGGGAGCAGATTCTGGCACCAAAATATATCAATTGTAGCTCCACCATCTGTTACAATTAATAAGGCCTAAAAAACATGGAATCTGACATTATTTGCTTCATAGTGTGCAATCTGGAAGAGGAAACTTTATTTCCTCCATCAGAGCTGCAGCCTCAGATGCTTTATTTGAGCAGCCTGGAGGCAGGAAGCAGAGGACCACTTTGGTGCTGTGCAGAGGCCAGTCCTTCATCTGCATCTACCTGAGAATGCACTGAACCCCCTGAATGAAGCATGAGGGAGAATAAATAATTGAAGGCGCTCACTCTCCCATCAATACTTGAGGTTGAGGAGGCGGGAGGTGCTTTGCGTCAATCTATTGGAGAACATCTTCATACCCTACAGTATGTGATGTCTATCCTCTCAAAGCTCACCGCCTGCAGCTTAGCTGCTGCTTCAAAAACATAGCACATCCCATAATAATAAAAAAATAAAAACCCACAATCCCATGCCTTCTATCTTACACCAGCTGATGAATATTCCCCTTGCTTCATGAATGGTTAACACCCTCCTCTCCCCCGGCCTCGCTCTGGTTCCTCTGCTGGTTGAAGTGATTGTCTGTCTGCTCGTCTCGTTTGCTTGCTTTCTCTGTCTGTCTATTTGTCAGTACATTTTCCTCCAGTTTTGTCCTCGTCTTTTTTTGCAAAAAAAAGAAAGAAAAAAAAAGGCACACATTATAGCATTCAGCATCAACTCTCATCCAAATTTGCAGCATTTTTGCGTCAAAAAGGAACAAAACAAAGATACATTCTCTGAGTGAAAGCTCGACAGAGAATGCTGGCCAGACAGACAGACTTTTCTATGGGCTCTCCGTTTATTGCCCAAAGGCATTGCCCTCACTCTCTGAGTGACAAACTACTTGCATATATTTCATATGCACATGTAGCCAATGCCAGTTAGCGCTTTGGCCCTGTGTTCCCAGTCTACGCTTTTAGAGTGTTGCTAAATGGTTGGAAAAATCAGGCTAGCTTTAAAAATAACTTCGATTGTCTGCAGTTATTTCTCACAAAGCCCTCTTTTGTAACACTCTAAATGTGCTCTTCCCACGCCCTTATTATTTGTCCTTGTTTGTGATCTGGTGATATTACAGCTGTGTGTGGTATATCCCCCTTTCCTCCCACTCTGCGCTCTCCTCTAATCAAAAGGATGCTTCTTGTTCTCTTTATCCTAATGATCAATTGTATTTATTGTCCTTTTCTTTTCCTTTTTCTTTGTGCTCTTTTTCTCCTTTTAGCATGTTTGTCTCCTGTTAAAGTGTGTTTTTTTATTTTTCTTTCTGTCTCCTATTCTTTGATACTTATCAGACTGACCAAACTAAGCCTCTCTTGTGTTTGCAGGCTTTTCCTCCCTTCATCCCCTCTCTTTTCTTGCAGCTCTCTTTTTCTCTCTCTAATGTGCTGGTGTTTGTAACAAACTCTCTCTCTCTCTCTCTCTCTCTCTCTCTCTCTCTCTCTCTCTCTCTCTCTCTCTCTCTCTCTCTCTTTGGTTTCATGCTGTTCCTGCCATTAATACTTGTTATCTCTTCTAACATGGATACAGTGTTTTTATTTAGCCTGTGTATTTCTCAAACGTTCTCAGTCCTTATGATTTCTGTTAACCGTGTGTCTGCAACCTCCAAATCCTCTCTCCGTCTGCTCATGTCTCTCTCTCTCTTATGTTGCTGTTGTTGTTTTACTCGTTTGTCTGTTACCTACATGTGTTTCAGTGTGCTTTGACTGGTCGTCTCTATTGATAGCTGTGTGTCATTTATGTATCACATTACAACAACTTTTCTATTAAATTCTCCTTTTTCTGTCCTTCTGCCATGCTTTCTTTAACCTCTCACTAGTTTATAATTTTTGTCTTCTTCTCTGATTTTCTGTACACTTTTGTGATTCTTGTTTTCATGATGTATGAACATAAGGAGTGTTTCTGCCACCTGTTTTGTGCACAGGAATAAAACTCAACTAACATTTGTACTTTAGTGCCAGCTGGAGTTTCCTTCTCTCTGCTTTCTGTTTCTATAAGTCATTTGTGTTGTCGACGCATCGGAGAACTAATTGAACAGACAGCGTCTGTCCTCTCTATATATGTTGTTTTATATGTGTCTCGTAAACCTTCTAAGGATTAAAATCATTCTCTAAGTTTAGCGGTTCTGTTTTGCGTTGTGTCTGAAAAATGTGTGTTTTAAAGGTGTTTGCCAAACTGGACACATCTATAGTCATCATAAGCTCAGCTTATTCCCATCCATCACATTTCTCTGCATCAGATGTCCTCAGGTGTAGCGCCCAGCAATTATCTGTGGAATCTTTGGCACATTTTATCTGGCTTTGTTACTGATAGCTGCAGAAAAAAGCACTTGTTTGGTTTTGAAGTGACATCTATCCAATGTAAACTGGGACAGATTTGATCGTTTGGGACGGGCAGAGGTTGGACTCCCCATGGGCTCAGACGTTCTCCCTTTCTGTAGATGAGATGAGCTCTCAGCACATGATCTGGAGGTTGTTCCTTTGTCAACATGAGTTTTTGCTTTCAGGGGTAACAAGCCAGCTAACAGCCCCAAGGGCCAACCCCCTGATGCCGACGGCCACTCCTCTGTGACGGACTTGGCCAACTCTCTCACTGGAGACATGGTGATGGTAAGATGACCTGTTCCACGGTGCCCAAGTCAGTACTGACCTAGGTCTGGTTTTCACCATTTAAAACACCTGGTTCCATTTAAAACTAAAGATTTTCTTTTTTTTTTTAAATTCATAACAGGAAAAATGCCAAACTAAGTCTTTGTGCTTATGTTTGCACAACATTTCAACACAAAATGTTTTTGTTCTAAAAGAATACCCAGACAAATACATTATGAATAAAGTTTTAAAATGAATAAATGTGGAAATTAATCATTACAACTTGTGTTTCTTTATTATGCTAATAAATTAATCTAACAACCGGTACCCATTTTCAATTATATATCCTCAACATTTTATTTAGACAGGGGCCTTGCGGGTCTGATCCTCTGGTAGGTGGAACGTCACCTCGCTGGTGGGAAAGCCTGAGTTGGTGTGTGAGGTTGAGAGGTTCAGTTTAAGTATGGTTGGACTCACCTCGATGCATGGCTCTGGCTCTGGAACCAGTTTCCTTGAAAGGAGTTGGACTCTCTACCTCTCTGGAGTTTCTCCTGCTGAGAGGCGCAGAGCAGGGGTGGGCATACTAGTTGCCCCTCCATCTTTGCACCTGTACATTGGGGTTTACCCAAGGTGTACAAGAGGTTAGCCTCCCTCCACCCACATATGGGGCGACATGTCCTGACTGTTGTTTGTGCTTGTGCACCAAACTGCAGGTCAGACTACCCACCCTTGCTGAGGTTCTTGGAGGGGATGCTGGAGAGCGCTCCCTCCGGTGACTCCCTTGTTCTGCTGGGGGACATTAACGCTCACGTGGGCATCAACACTGACACCTGAAGGGGTGTGGTTGGGAGGAACGGCCGCCCTGATACGAATCCGAGCTGTGTTATTGGATTTCCGTAATTGTCATGGATTGTCCACAATGAACAAGATGTTCAAGCATAATAAATAATAATGCATTGAACTTATATAGCACTTTTCTAGACACCCAAAGACGCTTTCCACACACTCTCACATTCACACACTGCTAGTGATGGTAGGCTACTTGTAGCCACAGCCACCTTGGGGAGGTCTGACAGAGGCGAGGCTGCCATTTGGCGCCGTCGGCCCCTCTGACCACCACTAGCACAGGCAAGTTGGGTGAAGTGTCTTGCCCAAGGACACAACAGCAGGATCCCCTGGCGGGAGCTGGAATCGAACCCATGACCCTCCGATCATGAGGCAACCCGCTCTACCACCTGAGCTACTGCTGCCCCGTAGTGATATATGCTCTTAGCACCAGGATACCTTAGGCCACAGCTTGATGATCAACTTTGTTGTCGTCTCATCTGGACACTTGAGTGAAGAGAAGGACGAAGGTTTCAACTCAACACAACCTGGTGGTGAGTTGGCTCCGATGGTGAGGAGGATGCCGGTCACTGAGACCTGGCAGGCCAAACGTATTGTGAGGGTCTGTTGGGAACGTCTGGCAGAGTCTCCTGTCAGACGGAGCTTCAATCTCCACCTCCGACAGAACTTCCAAATCGTTTCTGGGGACACTGAGTCCAAGTGAGCCATGTTTCGGGCCTCCATTGTCGAGGTGGCTGACCAGAGCTGCGACCGCAGGGTCATCTGTGTCTGTTGTGATGGCAACCTAAAAACTTAGGGATGCTGTCAGGCAGGCATGGGAGGAGTTTGGTGATACCATAGAGCAAGACTTCTGTATGGTTTCGAGGAGATTCTGGTCCACCATCTGGTGCCTCAGGAGGGGAAAGCAGGTTGGCTGATGCGGCTCTGCAATATCGCGTGGACATCGGGGGCAGTTGCACTGGATTGGCAGACTGGGGTGTTGATCCCCCTACTTTAAAAGGGGGACCTCCCTGGTGAAGTCCATTCAGCAGGGTTTGGTGGATTGTTGAACCTCTGATTCAGGAGAAGCACTGTGGTTTTCGTCCTGGCTGTGAAACACTCGACCAGCTCTATACCCTTAGAGGGATCTTGGAGGGTGAGTGGGAGTTCGCCCAACCAATCTACATGTGTTTTGTGGATTTGGAGAAGGCGTTCGACTGTGTCCCTTGTGGGGGGTACTTCGGGAGTATGGGGTACCAGGCCCTCTGATACGAGTTGTTAGGTCCTGGTGCCAGAGCTTGGTACACATTGCCAGCAGTATGTCGGGCTAGTTCCCAGTGAGAGTTGGACACTGCCAAGGCTGCCCTTTGTCACCGATTCTGTTCATAACTTTTATGGATGGGATTTCTAGGCGCAGCCAAGGTGTTGAGGGAACCTGTTTTGGTGGCCTGAAGATCAGATATCTGCTTTTTGCAGATGATGTGGTCCTGTTGGCTTCATCAGAACGTGAACTCTAGCTTTCACTGCAGCAGTTTGCAGCCAAGTTTGAAGCGGCTTGGATGATCATTGGCTCCTCTAAATCCGAAACCATGGTCTTGAGTCAGAAAAGTGTTGAAGGCTTTCTCAAGGTCAGGGACGAGTTCCTGCCCCAAGTGGAGGAGTTAAGTATCTCAAGGTCTTGTTCACGAGTAAGGAAAAAATGGAGTGCAAGATCAATAGGCGGATTGGTGCAGCATCTGCAGTGATGCGGGCATTGTACTGGTCTGTCGTGGTGAAGAGAGAGCTGAGCCCAAAGGTGAAGCTTTCGATTTACCGGTCAATCTTCGTTCTTACCCTCACCCCTGGTCATGAGCCTTAGGAAGTGACAGAACGAGATTGCGGATACAAACAGCCAAAAGAGTTTTCTCCGCAGGGTCGCTGGGCTCGCCCTTAAAGACTGGGTGAGAAGCTCGATCATCCAGGAGGGGCTTGAAGTAGACCCGCTGCTCCTCCACGTCAAGGGGCATCTAGTTAGGATGCCTCCTTAACTCCTCCATGGTGAGGTTTTGGGTCTCATTCAACTGGGAGGAGACCCAAGGGAAGAAGCTCCCCCAAATAGCTACAGAGAGGGGTGTCTGGGCCTCCCTGCCTTGGCTGCTGCCCCCGCTGCCCGACCCTGAAGCAGAGGAAAATGGATGGATGAATGGATGGACGGATCCAAAAATAGGTTTCCATTAACAATGTATGTTTGTACCAGCTTCAGTTTAAAAACAAAGTTTGTGTTTTAAAGTTGCAAAATGCAAGTTTGAAGCTTTAACTCTGACAATGCATTTTTGTGTTGTTTGTAATTTACAAAGGCCACAGGCAAAGTTTGAGTTCTACCTGGGACATTTTTTGTCTTGCTGAATTAGCGTCACTGTTTGATACTTAAAACCTGATTGACTAGTAATTATTCCTACTGTAACTGGATGTAACCTGCAGAATGTAGGCTGCAAACTCACTGCAGACTCAAATAGAAGGTTTGGCTAAAGCTGGAGACGGCGATGAGGAAAAAAACGAACACAGAGGCAGTTCCCATGGTGGCAATCAAGCAGGACTCGCTATCCAAGGTGACTCATGCTGCTCTAAAAATTACAGTTGGAACATTTCACACTTGTTCCTCCTGTTCCTAAATTCATTATGATAAATGTTGAAGTGAGTGCTTGTCATTTAGCTCTAATCCAACCCCATCTCATCCCTAAAAAGAATGATGAATTTATTTTATGCTCAAAGGACGTTTTTACACCAAAAATGCTTCTCAGATTATTCATCTTCCAAAGGTCAGAAGTGGCTCTTGCACAAAGCGATTTAATGAAAGGCTTCTTGATTATCTCCTCTCAAGGTCCTCAAATAAATTCCTTCCTCTAATTTATGCCATTGTTAGATGGGGAGGGAAAATAAAACATGACAGAGGCAGAAGGTGGAGCTCCAAGGAGAAAAGTGAAGAAAGCCAACCTTGAGCTGCATTTCCTGGTTATTCTCTCAAACTTTTTCTGTTTGTCTCCACCTCTCCCGTTCCCTCTCTCTGCTGCCTTTATCAGATATCAGCCTTTTAGTGCACAGCAATGATAAAGCAGTCAGAGTGCCTGTGTGAGAGAGAATGGGTATAAAGCTCTGTATCTTCAATCTGAGCACCTGCCACCTCTTAAGAACATTAGTAAGGAAATTAAGAACTCTGTCTTCTTAACATCAGAACAATCTGTGTCTCTGAGCAGAAATATGGCTCTAAATTCTGTCCCTCACTCCGACTCATCAAAGGGCTTGTGTTACAGCAAGTCTGCCCTTGGACTGAACCTTTCTCTTGAGTGTGAACTGCTGGGCGTAAAGGTTTTCATAGTCATCTGTCTGCTTTTTGTGACCCTGCAGCTGTCTCCAGGTTCAGAGGATGATGACGGAGAAGGGCCGGTGAGTGAAAAGCTGGGCCGGATCCAGTTCAGCATAGGCTATAGCTTCCAGAACACGACCCTTACAGTCAAAGTTCTCAGGGGTCAGGAACTCCCAGCCAAGGACTTCTCCGGTACGTCAGATCCTTTTGTGAAAATCTACCTGCTGCCTGACAAGAAGCACAAGCTGGAGACCAAGGTCAAGAGGAAGAACCTTAACCCCCACTGGAATGAAACTTTCCTTTTTGAAGGTTTGTCACACCATTGTTAATGTTTGTTAACTTTGTTTTAGAGAAAGGGTGAAATGATCTAACATGCCTGGAAATAAACCCATGTGAGAATTTAGAGCTACTTTTTACGATGGGGTCATAAAGGAGAGGAGGAGGGGATTTTAAAATATGAACGGCTATAACTCCAGCAGCCCCTGGTCCCATTTCCCTTCACGGAGGAGCTGAAAGCCACGCCTCATACCGCGCACACAGTCTTGTGGCGCTAACGGATGAGTATTTTTTTATGTTCCTGCTCAGACACACCTGATTCTAACTGCTGAATTACCTCCTCAGTCTACATCGAGATCTGCAGGAGCTGCTAATCACTCATTTAAACCAAATCTGCCAGTTTCAAACAGGAAAATGTCTAAAACAGGCAGAACACCTTTGGTATGGCTAAAATAGTCAGGTGTAGCGTAAGCTTGAACACAACACCAGTCACTTTGCTCCAATCCAAAAAGCATTAATGCTTTTCCATTTCTCTCCCTCCTCTTCTAGATCTAGCTTGAAGTTTAAAGAATGACAATAATTTAATGCAAGTTGAGTTAGCATTCAAGCTAGGCTAGTGTGCTAAGCTGACAGGCGCATCACCATGGTGCATGCTGGGTAATGGGGTACATTCTCATTCATTGACAGATCCCTCTTGTGCAGGAGTGGGGAACCCTGGTCCTCGAGGGCCGGTATCCTGCACGTCTTTGCTCCAACACTTCTGATTCAGTGGTTGAATCACCTGTGCAGCAGCTCATCAGGCTCTGCAGAAGCCTGTTAATCACCTGCTGATTGAAATCAGGTGTGTTGAAGCAGGGTTGAAACTAAAATATGCTGGACAGTGGCCCTCGATGGACCAGGGTCCCCCACCCTTGCTCTTGTGGATATGTAAATCTATTGCTCAACACTCAACTGTGAATGACTAATTTTGCTGTAGAGACCAGGGGAGAGACTTTGGAGAAATATACATTTTGTAAGATTACCTACTTTATATCATAGAACAAGGTCAGATGGTCTAAATAAAGCATTTTTTAGGTTACTTACATTTTTGAACTACGTACTCCAGCTTTAATGAGAAAACCCAGTCAGGTTTCTCTGTAGAAATGTGAGGTAGCGGACATGTGATGCTGGTCATAATTATTCAGACTTTTGTCGGATACAGGCTTCTAAAAGTACTCCAGAAACATATATTTTTTTAATTGCACTTTGTGTGTTTTGTGAAAATGCAACAGAGTTGTGAAATCAAGAGCATTTTGTGAGAACTGCAGCTCATTTTTGTGGTAAATATTATTAGCCTTGTAAACTGCAGATGCTCCGTGGAGAGTGTCATTTCTATGTAAATTGCTCTTTTACAATCTTTGTTTTAGGTTGAAAATGTCATAATAAAATAGCAAAACTACTGTTGGAAAATCTCTGACTCATTTAGAGACAGAGTGAGTGAGTGTGTGAGTGTGTGTGTGTGTGTGTGTGTGTGTGTGTGTGTGTGTGTGTGTGTGTGTGTGTGTGTGTGTGTGTGTGTGTGTGTGTGGTAGGAGAGCTGTATAATGATCCCTCCGGGTCGTTTGAAAGAACAGCGGCAGATCTAACAGGTCTTGTCGCACACTCTGGCCTTTGTCAGATTCATGGCTGGTAGCGTGTTGCTCTTTCACATGGCCCTCTCTGCCACTTAGCTGTCCCCCCCCCCCCCCCGCCCATCACTCTTCTCCACATGTGTGTTTGTGTTTAAGGCTTCCCTTATGAGAAGGTGAGAGAGCGCACCCTCTACCTCCAGGTGCTGGACTATGATCGCTTCAGCAGGAATGACCCCATTGGAGAGGTGTCAATCCCCCTCAACAAGGTGGAACTAGGCCAGCTGAAGACCTTCTGGAAGGAGCTCAAACCCTGCAGTGATGGCAGCGTAAGAGACAAAAAAATGGCCCATTAGGCAGGACCGTGACCAGTGCTCTCTTTTAATTGCTGTGTTATTTATTGAAATGATAAAAAATAACTCAAGTGTGACACATTTGGTCACAGCTCTGGGCTTGTTTGTTTTTGGGTGAGCAAGCATCTTAGCTAAGCCAGCCTGGTCACTGGACCATCTGTGTGTGGCACGGGGAGTTAGAGCCAAAAAGGAAGTGATGTCATGTTAAACAACAAAGTCAGCGTGTAATCTGGAGATTGATATTCCGTGATGAAATCCCACAAATCCTGCTCCACTGTGTTTTGTTTCCTTTTATTCTGCTCAGGGGAGACGAGGAGACCTGCTGGTGTCCCTCTGCTATAATCCTACAGCCAACACCATCACTGTGAACATCATCAAAGCCCGCCATCTTAAAGCCATGGACATCGGGGGCACCTCAGGTATACACTTCTCTTTGTTCAGTCTTTTTTTCCCCCTCAGACCTCCGCTCAGCACTCACCTGCCCTTGTCCTGACCTCCAGGACTTATTTGTCTGACTTCATAAATATTTGCTGGTGGCTCTGTGCAGTGGAAGGCCACTGTCCACTCAACAGTAGTGCCAAGGTGACACTACATCGATAACGTGTCGTTTATGTATGAGGATCTTCTGGGTTCCTGATAAATGGGCTGCAGCACAGCCTGATGTCTAGATTCCTGTAAAACACGCTCTGCCTTGTTCTTTCGCAGCATCTGAATACCAGTAGGTGACACTTTGTATTACCAAGTAAAGTGTTACTCCAGAACTTTTAGTACAAATCTCAGGCCCCATTTCCATAAATACTTGCTCATTTGTATGTTTTGGAGCTCAGGGAATAGATTGACCTTGAGCCCAAATGAGATCTTCCTTCCCTGCTGCCTTTTTATGACTTTAACAACGAAGAGGGTAATTGCAAACATGACCCCCAAAGAAAAATCACCAACCATGCTTGGGCATCTTCTCAATGCCTCTCCTGTAAACACCATCTCTGTGCATCCTTTATTCTGCTTCCTGCAGATCCCTATGTGAAGGTGTGGCTCATGCACAAGGACAAGCGTGTAGAGAAGAAGAAGACAGTCGTGATGAAGCGATGTTTGAATCCTGTTTTCAACGAGTCTTTCCCTTTCGACGTGCCCGCTCACGTGCTGAGGGAGACCACCATCATCATCACCGTCATGGACAAGGACAGGCTCAGCCGCAATGATGTTATCGGCAAGGTAACACGGTGCTAACCTTGTTCCACTTTTTTTTTTAGTAATGGCTTACCAAAACAGCCCAATCAGCTCCTAATTTCACTCTATTGAGAGCTGATTAGACACAAAAAAGTTTCTTTTTTTAGGATTTTAGGAGTTTGACTGTTCAGAATCGATATTGAGCAGCGTAGCGTATATTAATCTCTGGATATCTCATTTAAATTGATTCTATTCCTTTTAAAACACACATCTGTCAACAGTGACAGTAAAAATTAGAGGACAGAAATGTGAAATTCTTATAAGGTCTATTTGTTTCTTTTCCAATCTGAGCCTTTTCTGTTGAAATGAGCTGAAAAAAGAAGAAAATATTACACCATCAAACATTTTATTGAAGTCGCCATAAAACCATTAAACATTGAAGGCTTTAGTTAACTCTGGCACAGAAGGTTTAACTTGTATTTTTCTTAAAAAGAAGTATCAAAAGAATCTTCCAGCATCAGCTTTTTAAATTGTTTTTTTTTTTTTTTTTTTTACAATGGATGCTTTAAAAGGTTTATTATTGTGACATAGTCCTTTTGTTTGTGTGATTTGTCAGTTCAGCAGTTTGTGGGCAGTGATCATATCTTCATTTCCCTACATGGGCAGAGCCAAACGTCTTCATTCGGATCAATCTCTGTTACAACCAGGTGTCTAGGGGGCCTGGGGTAACATGGAGGACGCGTGACACAAAGGAAAATTAACAAAAGTTGTATTTACTTTTCTCTTACTCCAGAAAAGATGACTATTATTATTATTATTATTATTAACCACCATGGATCTAAAACCCCTTTAACCAAAACAGGTTCAAACACTAACATGTAACATAACTCTAAAGAGAGCACAAAATCTAAGGTAACAGATTACCCCTAAAGCTTATTTCTTCTTCAATATCAAAGTTCTAAGTGGGAGACACCAGACCAGAGGAAAGGCAGCTCTGCACTATTGTCCCCATTGGTGAGGAGCTCCAGCAGGTCTTTTAAGCAATTTGCGGCTGATGAAAACCCAGCTCAGCTGGTGCAGGGAGGGGCAAGGGTGAGCAAACAGGCCATAGTCTGCAGGCAGGCTCCTCAGATGCAACATAAAAATGCACAGAAAAATGAAATCACAACACAAAAAGGCTCCAGCCGTAACAATCTCATGTAGACCGAAGATTTGGATCCAGTACCTGATGCTGGGAAGGTCCACCTGTTGCTGTCAGAAGAGCAGTTAGAATCAGTGGATCCAAACTCCAGTCCTCGGGTCTTACAGGCCTGCTTCAATATGCCTGATTTAATCTGATGGTTGATTATTGGGCTTCTGCTAATTTGGACAGTTTGCATGTGAAGATTAAATTGAACCAAGTGAAAGCCTTGAGGCCTGCTATCCTGCAATGTAGATGTTCATTTTGCTGAAGTTGAAATCGGTTTTCTGCAGTGCTTGAGGACACAGCAGAGGTGTGGTTGAATCAAGTGTGTTGGAGCAGGGCTAAAACAGAAACATGGACAGTAGAGGTCCTTTAGGACCAGAGTTTGACCACAGGTGTGAAACGTGGAGGACAGTGAGACCAGAGGGATGGGATTGAAAAAAAAATCTTAGAGTCTTTGGGTTTGGAATTCTGCTGGTTGTAGACAAACTCAACGAAAACTTCTACATCTGGACTTATCTCTCCATCATTTATCTTGTTGAAGGTTAAAGTTTCACTTATGGGATTTTAATTAATACTGGAGTAAAACGTGTAGAAAAAGTTAGAAATCTAACTTTTTACTGAGGAGGTTATACGTTGTCATGACAACTGCAGGTTTACCGCCTTTAGGTAACATCCAGATACATCTAAACCTCGACAGTAAAGCAGCCTGAGACGGTTGCTTTCCATCTCATCGCTGCTCTTCAGCGAAAAGCGCTCACTTTGATCTAACCGATGTCAAATATTTTATGAAAATCATGATTCCTTCCAGCCTGAAGGAGGAAACATTTATCTTAATGACACATGTGAAGGACATTACTATAACTAAAAGATGGTGCGTGCAGTGATTCCTCTTGCCTTCGATCAGTTGCAGATGACTTCCTGAAGTGAGCGTGATGGTTTCGTTTTTTTCTCTTCACTCTCAGATCTACCTATCGTGGAAGAGTGGACCAGCAGAAGTGAAGCACTGGAAAGACATGCTCGCCCGGCCGCGCACTAACGTCGCTCAGTGGCACTCTCTCAAGGCCTGATTGTACCACCGAGCTTCCTCCACGGCCATTTCCTGTCTCCCAAACTCCTTCTCCTGTTCCCTACCTACTCCGCCACCCTCAGCCCCCTCCTACTCCCATCCTTATGCACAAGACTGACTTGCTGCCAGGCTGCGAAACACGGGTACAATTAGCCATCTGCTCTCTTAAACCTTTAAACTCCTCTCTCTTTTCTTTCTAAATCTCCACTTCCTCTCCCATTTCTCTCTGCACCCCCCATACTGTTTTGTCTGTGCATGCGCGTCACCAAGTTGCCGATGGTCCCCCTGTTTCTGACTGTCTGTGTGTCTGTCTGTCCTTTGCCTACGGAGGTCTGATGAATCCCTTTCTTCGTGGATCCCTTCCTTTTGAACCTGACCCGTTAACGGTGCCAGTCCCGTGGGATCACAGAGAATTGTCAGTAAAGATCAATCTCATTTAATCCTACTGTATGAATTCTGCAGGTACATAATATTATACATTATGTACTTTTATGTACATATACATCTTAAAATATTAGTGATATAGATCAGCAGGACTCAGTAAGCTGCTGTTTGTCGCCTTTTTTCTTTTTATCTGTCCCCTTGTTGTCATCATCTGTCCCGAGTGTGCTATATCAGTCCCGTCCTCCATTTTTACTTGGAAGTGGTTCAGCTCGTCACTGAAATTTAGCTGACAACAAGTTTAAAGGGAAAGGAGCTGAACTTAGGATGGAGTTCTTGATGTTTATTTATTTTTCTCCTTCTTTTTCCTTTCTGCTCCTCCTTTTTTCTCTTTTCTTCTTCTGGCACAATATTAGTGACTTACTTTGCCCACCCCCCTCGCTCACGCCGTTTTCCGGAGCCTTCCTTATCGTCTATGTGCTGTGGGTGCTGTGGTGTAGCTCCATCGAAAATAGAGATTTAAAAAAACACACACTCATATCTATGTATATATATACAAGACGAGAAAAATAAAACTGAACTTTCCAAAAAAGTAGGAAAGTGGGGACACACTCTTGTGAAATCGATAGCTTCTGGTTTTTTCCAGACTTAAAAAACTGATGTGGAGAGAGAAAAAAGAAGATGAAAACCACAACAACAACAAAACGAGCAAACGCAATCTTCCAAACCAAGATGATGTCACTTTTCAACACCGACTGAGGAAACTAATTAAATCATCTGAGAAAAGCAGATTAGTGATGTGTGTGCACATGAATTCAGTCATGAGAACACACACTTCTTTGTTTAATGATGCTCTGAATTGTTTTTGCTTCCCTGTGATTTCCTGTCATGGTGGTGGTTGTCCACCAGGTTTGACTATATGGTGTTGTGTTGTTTGCCTGTTGGTGTGCATGTGTGTGTGTGTGTGTGTATGTGTGTGTGTGTTCACAGGATTCAAATATGATTCAAACTGGGCGGAAATCTTCTCTTTTCTCTTTCTCCTCTTGCTCTCTTCTTGCTCTTCTTACTGCCATTTCCCCCATCCTCTACTGCCCTGCCTTTGTGAATGAGGCGCGGGGATGTTCATTTTGCACTTTTTTGAAAATGTAATAACAATAATGATGATGATGAGAGTTTTGATGATGATTATGGATGTGGTGAAAATCAAGGGAGGAAAATCCGAAAGGGTTGGGTGGGGTGGAGGTGACGTCTGCGCTGCGATTTCAGGGCTTTGGAGTTGAAGTGGAGGACAGAGAGGATGTGGGGCTCTCATCCTCCTCTTCTTGGGCTTTTCATCTCTGCACAAATGTGTGTGTGTGTGTGTGTGTGTGTGTGTGTGTGTGTGTGTGTGTGTGTGTGTGTGTGTGTGTGTGTGTGTGTGTGTGTGTTCAGCAACTGCAGGAGTCGTGGTGGCAGAACACAAATGTTTGAAATGTCAGGCTAGGATGGAGGACACGTCTGCTTGTCACACGGAGGCTGACCAGCTCACAGTGCGATTACACAATGTGTTGATTACCAACAAGGCTGTTGGAGCTCTGAGGAACAATCTGCAACTTAGAGAAAAGTAAGATCTCTACTATGATGTATTTGGGAGTCTAAGACCAAAATGTTGAGCAAAAAGTCTAAATAGAAGTTAATTTGGGATTTAAAGGAAACCCAAAAGCGAAACAAGCACTGGTGGAAAAGCCTACAATACCCATAATACTCTGGGGACATGGACTACGCTGACTTCTGTTAGCTCTTTTAGTGTAACTTGCATCTGGAGGTGATTTTTCCAGCAGTAGAGGGCTTCAGAAAGAGATTTACCAGAGGAGAACTTTAATAAACAATTGTTAAACATTTCAGATGTATTGAGGTACGTGTTTATTATGAGGACATTTAGTTCCTGTGGCTGTTCTTAAGTTATTCCACTTCATAGTATGTTGATATATTATTTGACTTTTCAACAATAAGTTCACTCCCTTCTTACGTTTTTCTTTTTTGCATGACCCTAGATCACAGCCAAGTCCTCTGGGTTGTTGAAGTTCACAGAAACCATAAAAGCGTGTGTTTCAGGGCAGACGGGTGTGATATTAGATGCCAGCTTGATCTGCCACAGTGGGATCCCATAGAACTGGATTAGATGATATCTTTCCTCTCCTGTGAGCTGGAAAGCTCCACCGAGTGCAGCGTGCTGCAGTGGCAGCATCTCGGTTCGTCACACACACTCAGTTCAGCTTGATTTTTGTGTAAATAAAACTGTTGGAAAACAGCTGCATTAGGCTCTCACACAGCTCTCTGCTCTGTCTTTGTAAACGAACTGTAGCAGAGTTGTTACACTCTAGAACGTGGACGTCAGCTGTTAAATGCTTTCTTTTGACTCCCATAGCTTTCAGTTTTCATCACTTAATGACAATCATGTCTCAACCCTCTGCAGTGTTAGACTTCTTTGTTTTCCACTTGAGAGAGCAGCTTCTGTTACATTTATTTTTTCATTTTTGCAAAACAGAGCAGCTGTAGCCTGATCAGCACCTTGTTACTGAGAGCTGGTAGCTGTTTTGGGCAGCACACAGAGTGCTGAGTGTGTTCTGGTCAGTGGGGGCCTCGGTTCTGGCTGCTGTGAAGCGCTGATCCAGTCCAGCACCCTTCAGAACAATTGGCCAGCCATGGAGCAGGACTTACTGCTTTGACAGGCACTGCTTGCAGTGTCACCACACATTACACTCCCTTTAGGTGGTCAGAAAGGAGAGATATCTGTGTCCGTGGACCTGGGAGGGGGACGTCACTTTATTTAACTGAAGGAACTCGGGTTAAGAATAAAACTAGACACAGGGTGCATTTGCTATGTGTGCAAGAATAAAAGATCTTCCACCCATTTGTTAGATTTTCCTGCTTCATGTGCGATTCCCTGGGGAAATCGATTCTCAACACTCATTTACCTGACGTGCGTGTCTTTAGCCTGGGAGAGCATCCAGACTTCACTCAAAGTGGCCCACTGGGTCTGGCAGAACCACTACACAACACTGGCTGTCAGTCACTCAGCTGTTTCATTTCCTAACCACACTTTTCTCAAGGACAAATAAACGGCTAATCCATTTAACCTGAGGGAGTGTGACAACTATGCAACTGGAGAAAGGAACAACCGATTAGCTGAACCCCAGGCCTCTGCACTAAATGCAGCCCTCCACATGCAGCATTAAAACAGTTTAATTAATGAAACATCAGCTCAGCTCTAGTCCTGTGCCTAAGGACACATCTGTCAATCCTAAACCTGCATGTACCAAAAAAACAGCTTTCTGCCCTGCTCTCCTCTTTAACTTTATTCCATTGTTAGTGGCAGGAGTAATAGGAAAAGCAAGAAGACACATATTGTTGATTTTATAGTAATTTAATACAAATCAAATATCGAGCAACTAAAAACGTCTTCCTTCAACTTGTAAGAAAATGTATTTATAAATGTTCAGAGCTTCTGGGATGACACCAGCCTTGTCAGATCCAGGATCTGGATCAATGAGCAGTCTGACCTCAGAATATCATCGGACATCTACTCCTCACTACAGTTCTGTACCCTGTACATCTATTTCCAGCAACAGGAGGGCGAGCGTAGGCTGAAAGTCTGGGCGTTATAACTCAGCAACTGTGTTTGAATACCGATGAGCTCTTAAATGGAAATCCTATAAATTATGATTTGTAGGTTTGGACTAAGCTAGCGGCTGACAGAGCTAGCTGTAGTGATGACATTTAGTCCTCACTTCAGGAAGAGGAAATAAAAAAGCTCAGTCGTGTTTGTAATAAAGTTCCTACTCTGAATCTATTTGCTGTATAAACAGAGTATCAGTGATATATTAACCACCAGGAGAGCTTCCCTCCATAAATACACAGGAGTCCCACACATTATGCTTTCATTTGAAGCAGTCATCATTAAAACGAATGGGACGCTCAGAGCCAAACAGTAAAAAAAAAAAAAAAAAAAAAACAGGGAGCAGATTCCAGTTTTATTGCCCTGCCACCTGTCTTGTTCCTTCCACTATATTTTGTTTTCTTGGCACCCGTGATGTCAGAAGTGACCTTCAACAAGCCGGAGCTCATGAGAATACCAGGGCAGCACACTGCAGATGCTCTGAGTCAAGACGTGATTTTTTTTTCTCGGATGGACTCCACTCGAGGTGCTGGGCCTCCTTGTGCTCGGCTTCGGCGCTGTCTCTCATCGTTACCGTCACGCCCCGGCAGAGTCAGTGAGCAGCTGCAGGTGTATGCTGCAGTGAGGAAACACTTCTTAAACAAGACCTGTACGTCGATTTCACTAACTTCTCTATAGGGAGCTTCAAGCTGAGCACACACTCTACAAATTTTTCACTGAGGCAATTTTCCTTGTGAATGTACAAGATCAGGGCGAGTTTTGCGCTGAGCGTCGTGTAGCGTACGGGAGTTACGGGAGGTGTTTAACACCAACCAGCTACCGATCAGCAGTCGTGAGCTCGCATGTATTTCTGGTGTGTTTGATATTCCGCTCGTCCCTCGTGAGCGCATCGCACTGTTAAAGCAGCGCTGCGAGTGGCTGTGACCCAAAAAGCACCAGAACCGCTCGCGGTGCATGCGCAAACATGCGTCAGCATGGTTTGCCCGCGATTCACCTATTAACACACATCGGTCAAAATACTTTTTTTCCACGCACATTGACAAGGATGGTCAAGAAAGCGTGTTAATGTCAAATTAATCTGATAAAACATAGATTTACTTTTTTTTTTGTCATATTCCACCTCCAACCCCCACAAAACCCTATGTGTCCTCCTACAGCTCTCCTGAAGGACAACAGACATCAATAACAACACAAAAAAAGCTGGCGTTTTGTGTAAAAACTGCTATTTTTAGTATATTTGTCGGTCCGACGTGTTGCTACCAGACCAACAGAGTGAGTAGTCAGGTCGCATCCGAGAGCTGGGCCATACAGTGCGAGCACATGACTTGTGAGATTTGCTCTGCAAGGAAGTCTTACAGTGTCCGCCCGGCTTAAGTCTCCTCCCTTTCCAGTCGACTCATGGTTCCGCAGAAGAACGAAAAAATAAATGCAATTCAACGTGGCTGAAAGAGCTTTGTTGTAATCCGCTTTGCCGCTTACGCCCTGGATCATACATGCGTTGTACTTCAATTTAAAGTAAAAGTACCGATGTGTGTGTCGACCATGCCAGTCGCGTACTATGAGATTTTTCAGCTTGTAAAAATTTGTAGTTTTGTAATGACTACAAATCAGACGTCAGTATCTCGCATATGTGAGATCAACACAGAACTTCCTCTCTCCTAGCATAGCTGCTACTTACCACGTGGCCAGATTTACTGTGGTTCTTTCCTCCTGGAGGAAGGATTTGAAGTTCACTGAACTTACGGCTATTTTTCCTCGGCTTTTCTCCGTGTCTGGTCTGATCACGTCACTTGATGGTGTCCTGGACGTATTTTCACAACAAATCTAAAATAACGTTTCTCCCCATTCTAAACTAAGTGCATTCTTGGCATCAAAATGCATTCTTGAAGTTCACGGACATCATATATGAAATCCATAACAAATTGAATTAGAAAATAGCGTTTCAGCTCCATTGACTTGTATTCATTTTTCATTCTTCCATGGACCCATGGTCCGGAAGTAGCTGGGCATGACTAGGCTCCCTATTCCTTGAAGACTAACGGGAAAGTTTTTTGGTTTATAACTGAGTTAGCTGAAAGTCTTTGATTTTGTTGGTCTAATTCTTTATTAGGATTGATGAATCTTATCAGCTATTGGTTGAAAATCTGCGCTGACAATCAAAAACCCCCAAAGACGTGGAGCGATTTCAAACATCTCCGTGTTTTTGGATATTTGGATTTACCTCTAGCTGAAATGCAGAATTCACTCCTTAACTTCCATCCTCCTCACTTTTTCATCCCCATCATTGTCTCTGGCAGCTTCTCTGTTGACTTTGTAAATAACTTGCAGCTCTGTTGGCTGGAGGGGTCTCGCCTGTTTGCCAAAGGGATCTTGATGATATTGTTTGTCCTTGTCAGACTTCCTCCTTTCCTTATTCTTCTTTATAAGTTTCCCTTGATGGACGTGGCTTTCTGAAGTGAAGCATTGCTAATTCACTTTGTTGGAAAGGTGCCTGTTTTGTCTTTGGAATATTAAATCAGTTTTGTTGGCGAGCCTTGAGTGTGTATTTGGGTTAAAGTCTGACTGCAGGAATGCCCTGATTCATGTTTAGATGGCTGAATAATCCCAGAATTCATCTGGCTCACCTCTGTCATTTTGTTGAGTGGATTTGTGTGTTTTTGCGCGGCGCAGACAGACCTCACTTCCTTCCCCCTCGACTCACCCTTTCAATTGTTTTAAGCATCTGGTGAAAACCGATGTAACTCCTCCCAATCAGGGTTTTAGGTAAGCATTGTAACTAAATGAACATTGAAAACAATAACGAGTAATAGAATCTTATTTATTTATCTATTTTTGTTCACATTTGACAGTAGTGTGTGTGTACAGTATGTGTGTGAGTGTGTGTGTTCATTTCTTTACACAACATTGTGAAGAAACGACTTCTGTTTTTTGAAAACTTTATGTAAATATTGTTGTTAAAAAAGATTTGAACAGTTGTTGTTCCCCGAGTTTTCGTTTTTAGCTGATGGAGAAAACAGACGACGTTCACGAGTACCAGTGGTGATGTTGATAACGACGATGAAGCAGATTATTCCCGCCCTTCTTTGACAAGGGCTTTTGGTGTCTGCTGCATTTTTGTTGGAGGCGTGGTGCGACCGAGGCAAGGCAAGCTACAAGGGAAGGAGTGGTACCCAACACATCCCAGGGTCACCGTAGCAACACTGCCATGCATACGCCCAGAGTATTCCTTATGACATAGTCTGTTTTCTGCGCCATGATGCATCATCACGTTCCTGTGGGACACATCCGAGACACGCTTTGTGGCCACAGTGTGTGAGAACACCACACACCTCCCTGTGGAGTTGCTCCACCTGGCCAATTGGCATTGCCCTGTCAGTTTACCGGCTGGGGATTTACTGTAATTCCATTGTGTTAGCCGGGATTGGCCTTGCACTAACTCTGATGATGCCTTCCTCGCTGAATTTGGAATCATGATGGCCCTGCTAGGGGCTTTGCATAAGAATGGGCTCATATGGAGGAGAGAAAAAAGATGCAACCCGTCAATCCGGCCCCGCAAAGACAATTTGCATGCTTGTGACTCGGCCTCTTATTATGCACAAGTGACTGTCATGACCTTAACAAATAATAGGGTTGTCACTTGCTTAGTGAGAGCTCCCTAAGAGCTCTCACTTTCCGACAAGGAACGTCCAGGATTAGAGCTAAATCAAACCATAAACTGCCATGCTACAGTCCTAATGCAGACCATTATTATTTGTAGCACAACATCCAAAAACGATGAAACAGGGATGTGGTCCAGTTATTTTCCCTGTAGGCCTCATAACACCACTACTCCCCTCATTCCACATGCCACAGCCTCGTGTATCTGCCCGAGCTTCTGTACAGCGCAGGGTTGGAGCTTATCGGTTTCAAATTTCTTTCAGGATGGTCTCTGCCACTGATGTGACACGGTTCAGCAGATACTGCCAGTCGCTGTCTCCAGGAAGGACAGCGGATACAGCTCCCCCTTCATCTGCAATACTGTCCCACCCTCGGGGGAGTCAGAACGTCCACAAACAAACCAAAAATAAAAAGCTTGTGGCTACTTTCTCCCCCAAAACCCCCAGAACGTTCGCTGATTGTAAATGTGATGCAGGCGGAGGAGCCTGGTAATCCTGCCATAACGTTTTTTTAAATCAGGGAGGTAATAAGCAATACACGCAGATGAAATAACGCCATACCCTGAAACTAAACGGAGAGGGGATTTTTGCACCGAGGGATGTCAAGGGTAACACTCCTATATTTTGTTCTTCTCCTCCTTTCTGAACTTGCCACGACCCACCTCTTCAACAAAGAGTGCTCTATCTCAAGACACACAGTTGTGATGTGTACAATCTGATTTCATGTACCTATTTATGTATTTTTGCCAACTTTGTAAAGTGTATATGAATTATAAATATATGAACCATGACAGTACTGTATAGATTTTAGCTGCCTGGTAAGGTTAATAGTATATACTTGGTAGACTAAAAGACAAAGCGTAGAGCTGTTCAAAAGCCAGTTACTGACAAAAATGCTTTCTGTAAAAACCCAGATGCCACTGGCTCCTTTTATATTCTAAGTTTTGTTTCCAGTTAACTTTTTTAATTATAGCCAGTGGGATCTGGAGTGTGTGTTCTTTCTGTCTGTTTGTTTGGTTGTTTTTGTTATTTCCTTTAAGAAGACACAGCGAGGTTCTGGCAGCCAGGAGAGTGCAGTGGAACACAGACCTGAACCCTGTGCAGTAGTGTGTGTTTTCTAGGTGTGTGTCCGTCCATTGTAGTGCTAGTGCTCTTTGTGCAGTGTCTCCCTCCTTGCTCTTATATAGATTGACATGTGACACAATGTATATGTGTGTGTTTAAGTGCAGGACGGTTGTGTTTGCTGAAGCTGGCCGATGCCCTTCTCTTCATGTGTGTTTCCTCTCGTCCACTCTCTTCATTACACTGCTTAGTTTTAATCCTCCGCTAAGTATAGATTTCCACTTCCTCTGCTCGATTGTTCATTTACTCCTCCATTCAGATGGTAATGCATACACCACCAGAGTCTAATTTCCCAGTAATCCATTCTCCCTCATCTATCTTGGCTTCTTTGTCCATTAGCATCTCCCATCCGTCACCCTCCACGTTACTGAAGAGCACCTAGTTTTTGCTATAGAGCTCTGTGGACCAGAGAAGGATTTAGCACAAAAAAATAAAGAAATCAGAAACCAGGGAGGGGATCTGTGCTTATTCATGCTCTTCATCCCAGGTCGCACGTCCCCTCTTCAGACTCAGAGGAGAAAGGGAAGCTTTCGGCTCAGCATGCAGAATCAAAAGTCAAGCGGAGATGTTTGTGGTGGCGTTGCTGCTGCCTGTTCGTAGCGAGAAGGTAAAGAGCCTTAAAGACTGGACCAAACGGAGACGTGTACTTCTGCTCCTTACCCCTTTCTTGCATCACCTTTATTACTCAGTATTCCAACGTGTTGCTTGGTTGCTCTGTACATATCTGTGTAGTATTTCTGTTAATGTCCCTGTACTGGTATACTAATGGGTTCTTACTGGGCGACCCAAGCAGACGTCCTCGCCCTTTCCCCCCTGTCCTTGTCTCATTTCTTTAGAAACTTCTAACATTCCATTCAACCGTCTAGTGAACAACGCTGGCGATGATTCGATTTCACTGCGAGTAAATAAAAATGCAGGAAAACTAAACCTCAGACATTTCCAGAGGAGCTGTGAGAAGGCAGGCAGCATACTCGCCAATAGGACCTTCACACACGACCCCTCTGCTCCTCCGAACTCACCTTCCACTCTAACCTAGCCTGAACTCAGAGGACGGTGAGGAAGGGTGAGGAGGTGGGAGAGCCCTGGGCGGCAGCAGAGCGTCGTGTCCCTGTGGTCACACTTTGGATCAGGAGGGAAACAAGAGGACATCTCAGGGTTTAACCCAGTAGCACTTTGGTTTGGCGTTCCACGTTTTTTTTCTTGGGCCTCTCCTGTTTTCGGGCCGAGCCGAATGTGATCTTTCTGGTTGATTTTCTGTTTCCTTTGGTTTCATTTTTGCTCTCCTCCACTCATCAGTGTTATAAAGCGTGTTGGGTGGCTGGAGCCTTGGAGCTGAGCTCTGACGTTGTTCCATATTAAAGAATAATTTTTGCTACTGTTGTGTTCAGAGTCTCATTTTGTTTAATGTCATTTAATCACCGCAAAGTCATCAACATTAGAGGTAAACCTCCTGAGGAATTAGGCTGCTCAACATCTTATTCTACAGCCACTGCTTAACCGACCATTTAATATGCAGTTTAAACCATCAGTGAAGCATTTAATTCCACCTCTTTGATTCAAGAAGATATGAAGTGACTTTGAAATTCAAAAATAAAATTTTTAAAAAAGTCTTACTTCATTCACGTTTATTCAACATTGTACTCCAAAAAGCCCGATTCGCTTGTAAAATCCAATAAAGTGGTCTTGAGCTGCATTTTTAAGGGTTTATGAACATATTTAAACAATTTTTTCTTTGGAGTTTGACAGATTTTATCTGTTTTCAGTCTACCACTTTAAATAAGAAAAAAGCTCCTTCACTGTGAGGCCATCAAAGGCTCCTAAACTCAAGGGGTGAGCCAATGTGGTGTTGGCACAAAAATCAAAACTTGCCAAAGAATACCTTTTCAATTTGATTAGACTCTTACCACCTGTTAGAAACACAATTTGTTCCAATTTATTTTATTCAAATCAAAAAAGACGCAAAAATAAAATATATTTTACACCAATGTGGCTCTTTAAAGGTGATTCGCTGAAAGCTTGAAATTAAAATTGGACAAAACTGATTTTAAAGTTTTAGGGCTGTGTTGGTGGACGTGGCTCTGCAGTATCGCGTGAACATCCGGGGCAGTTCCACTGGATTGGAAGACCAAGGTGGTGGTTTTTGTCCTGGTTTTGGAACACTGGACCAGCTCAACACCCGTAGGCATTCAACCACGTCCCTCGGGGGACCCTGTGGGGGGTACTTCGAGAGTATGGGGACTAGGCCCCTTGATAAGTGTTGTTAGATCCCTGTATGACTAGTTAAAAGTTAAAGTCCCATCAGTTGTCACACACACACGTATATGTGTGCGAAGTTTGTTCTCCGCATTTGACCCATCCCCTGGGGGAGCGGCGAGCTGCAGACACAGCTGTGCTAGGGAACCATTTAGTGGTTTAACCCCCCAATCCAACTCCTTAATGCTGACTGTCAAGCAGGGAGGCATTGGGTCCCATTTTATCAAAGTCTTTGGTATGACCTGACCAGGAATCGAACCCTGATCTCCCCGTCTCAGGGCGGACACGCTACCACTAGGCCACTGAGCTGAGCTAGTGTCAGAGTTTAGTCCGGAGTGCCAGCAGTAGTACCAGGCTCATTCCAGGTGAGGGTTGAACTCCGTCATGGCTGCCCTTTGTCGCTGCTTCTGTTCATAACTTTTGTGGCCAGGATTTGGACAGTTTTGTTGGCCTAAAGCCTAGTTTATGCTTTGGCGTCTTTGGTTCCTAAGGACAGATGGAGTCAAGCCCACTTTTCTAAACATCCGTCAAACAAGACGGCGAAAACAAGCTTGTGATTGGTCAGGACGCAGCTTTCATCAACAGCACCGCCTTTGCGCTCTCACAAACATAAAGAAACCCGAACATATCTAGTGGCAGACACGGGGCAGCTTGAAGAATACCTCGTGGAAGAACTCTTAAAACAGGAATGTTTTATTCACCCGTGACTGAAGTTGTGAAAAGATGTGCAGCACGTGTTTTATTCGTGGACGTAAATGACGGGAAACGTGGGTTTAGATGTGACGAGGTGGAGGAGAATGAAGGACACATTTGTCCGTGTTAGTAAGTATCTGAAATACAAAAACCACACTGTAAACACAATAGTAAATCTTGGACCGGATATGAGACAGGATACCCCAGAACAGTGCTACGCCCTCTGTTGTCACGGTGGGGTATTGCTTTGCAACTCTCTCCAGGAGACGGAGAAGAGCAAAACGTCTCTGTCAATGTGTGTGCGCTTCTCTCCCTTGTGGGGCTGGTTCAGAAGCATAAACAAGGCTTCAGGATCGGGTCTCTGCTTTTTGCAGATGTGGTTCTGTTGGCTTCGTCAGACAGTGATCTCCAGCTTTCACTGGAGCGGTTCACAGCTGAGTGTGAAGCATCTGGAATGAGAATCAGCTCCTCTAAAATCGAGACCATGGTCTTGAGTCAGAAAAGGGTAGAATGCCTTCTCCAGGTCAGGGATGAGTTCCTGCTCCAAGTAGAGGAGTTTAAGTATCTCAAGGTCTTGTTCATAAGTGAGGGTAAGATGGAGCACAAGACTGACTGGTGGACTGGTGCTGCATCTGCAGTGATGCGAGCGTTAAACTAGTCTGTTGTGGTGAAGAGAGAGCTGAGCCAGAAGTCGAAGCTCTCAATTTACCGACTGATCTATGCTCTAACCCTCGTCTATGGTCACAAGCGTTGAGTAGTGACCAAAAGAATGAGATTGCAGATACATGCAGCCGAAATTAGTTTTCTCCACAGGGTGTCTGGGCTCTCCCTTAGAGATAGGGTGAAAAGCTTGGTCATCTGGGAGGGGCTCAGAGTAGACCTGCTGCTCCTCCACATCGAGTGGAGCCAGTTGAGGTGGCTGGTTGGGATATCTCCTGGATGCCTCATTTTAAGGGAGAGGGGTAATTTTGTAAAATATACACAGTGGTGTTGTATCATCTGGTTATATTTGCATAACATGGCTTGATTGCTTCTTGAGGTTTGAACCAAACTGTAATGACTAGAGCCAAAAAGTAAGACAAGTCTGATGAAGAAAATCAACACTTGCTGTCATCTTTATTCCAGCAGACATGAGGAAACCTTTTCATTAGAACCGCTATCCTCCCCATGACTGTCTTGCTTCTGGAGCCTTTTTCTCATCAGAACATCCTGGTTAATTTGGGTCAGAGTGACATCATTTCAGGTATCTAACTCATCATATATAAGATACTGTATGTGCTATTCATGGATTTGTCAAATTTGACTCTCAGTATATTTCTTTTATTTGGTTTTGGTGGGTATGATCAGTAAAATAGTGTGTTTAGTTTAGAAACAACCCTTCACATGACAAATTTTAATAATTTCACCATTCTCTGAAACAGACAGGTTTTAAACCCTTTAACAAGATTGAAAAACAGGAATCCATGAAAACCTCTTAATCTCTCTCGGTTTCTTCTTTTTGGTGACTGCCATGCCAATTTCTTTTCACTCACAGTAAACTGTCTCAGTTGTGTGTTCCTGCATACATCTGTAAGTTATAGAAATACCATAAAGGTGGAAAAAGCTACAGCTGCTAAAATGGAACACTCTCTGTTGGACGCTCCTATAGAGAAACCTTAAATAAACAAGCGCGTGTACACACACAGGTGCTCACATGGTGCTCTCAAAAGTATGGGCTTGGGCACGTTAAACACAGGTCTTAAGACTATGGTGGGCACTTAATGCACTGCGATTTATCATCGTAATTCTTCAGTTAAGCAATGTTGATTATATATTTTTGTCATCAAGTTGACGCAGTGATGCTAGATCTTGTTGTATTGTTGTTGTGTCCCTTTTTTTGTCCTTCTGTTTTTTTTTTTGTCTTTTTCTGCAGGTCTAGAAGCAGACTCTTGTTCATTGTTTACTTTTGCGGACCCCCCCCCCCCCCCCCCTCTCCCCACCTTTTCTTTTCCTTTCTCTTTCACCTCTGTCTCCGTGTCTGGTCGGAATTACAAAGCATTCAACAACAATAACAATAAAGTTTTAAGTATCAGGAGTGACATTAAAAGCAAACGCTTTGATGCTCCACCTGAGAATAAATCTGTAAGGCTTGTCACCAGCATTCAGACATCAATTCTGCTTGCTTCACAGCCAGACAGGACACGGTATAAAAAAAAAAAAAAGGATCACGCTAAATGCACAAAAACATGCAGGTAAATGCTTATATTGGCTGATTTCTGACCTCAATTGGGTCTAGAGCCAAACCGTTTTCTTCATTTTGAGGCAATTGGACAATATTGCGTCTCTCAGGTCGTGCTGGTCCTAAAAAAAATAATAATAAATAAAAATCATAATCTGCTATCATGATCTGATCAAAACTGGTTAGAAAATTTGAGAAAAGATCCAAAATCATTTTTTACTTGTTATTTCTGAAAATGATCAGTCACTCATGCAGGGTGAACGTGGAAATAGTCTTCCACCCCTATCCTGTATTAACTCATGACAGAAAATAGACGGAAAAACGCTCGGTTCGGAAAAGCCTAACAGATCTACTTCCCACCATCACGAAACATTCATAGACTCACCCATCTTGACCAACAACAGGGAAGGCTGTTGTTAGTTTGTTGTTCAGAAAACAGCAAGAGCATCTTGACTATACAAGCTAACTGTTAGCATTACCTACACTACAACACAGCAGAACTCCTCCAGGATTGTGCTTTTTCTGGAAACAAAGTCAGTGTGTTGCAGTTAGCCAATCAGTGGATAGATGTCCAAATATCAGGAAATAAGACTCCAAATCCTGTCGTCTGACGCTACTATTTCCTCCAGCTGACTTCTACGTCCTCAGACAGGTGCACCACAGCTTTGAACAACCTAAACCTGGTTTGTAAAGGTAAACCTGATGTTGGCTGAATGTTTCGTGCAACTCTCTCACTTCTACTCCTGCAGCCTGTTTTCAGAACGTCCTTTTCTACAGACACAACCTGCGACCTGAACACCTACAGGGTGAAATTCTGGACAGTTTTTGGGATCATGCAGGTGAGGGAGGCTCTCTTCGTTCTTCTGCCAAATGTTGAACAGCATTTGCCGCTTTAACTCTGCATCCTTGTGTGTTTGCCACGTGAGTATTTTACTCCAAGTCCTCCCCCACACTCCTCGCTGACACTGTGGTGCCGGAGCACTATGCAGATGAACTGTCACTGTATATAAAACATGAAAGTGCTGCTCCTCCACTGACAGCAGCTATGACCTGGATATATACTTCCTTTTTCTTTTGCACATAAGTTTCCTTTACTAAGACAGCCAACAAGCTGAGACTAAACAAGATTTTTGTTTGGGTTTTCTTCTACATGTTCCCATGTCCCTGTAAATGCAGAAGGCTGTCATCTCTTTAATGCTTCGGTCTATCCAT